GCATAGAAGCAGTCATATGAGTATCCATCACGAATTCGTTTTCTAAAAAGGAAAAATAGGAACAACACTTAGTATATGTCAAGTGTTGGCTCTGATGCCAATTGAAAGAATTTATGGTCCCGAATTCGTATTATACAGAGATGTTATCTGAAATGTTGTGACACTTGAGACAACATGCAGCGGAAATATAAAGATTAAAAGACAGTACTCAGAATTAAAAATGTTCACAAGTAAAGACTTGTGAACTTGCCCTTTACAGGACGGAAAAATATATTAAAATCAGTATTCCAAGAATACAAACAGAAGAGGTGCGAAACTTCTTCCTTATGAATGAATCTTTTTCAAGATCATTCTTACAATCAAATCTAGATACTAAAAGAAAAATATTAAAAATTCTAGATTTCAAAGAATGTACTCGTGAGGAGTACGTAAAGAACTTATGAATGAATCACTATCTTGATCATTCTTACAACCAAGTCTAGAAACATATATACTATACAATCTAGACTACAAAGAATGTACTTATGAGAAGTACGTAAAGAATGTACTCATAAGGAGTACGTAAAGATTGTACTCATGAGGAGTACAAACGACCGATTCTAAAACCACTCTAAAACTCTCGTGAATATTCTTCAGCCCTCGGTTTTTATTTCGTAGAATCGATTAATCTTCCTTGAGTATTGAAGTCGGTATTTATAGGCATTCCAAGCATCCACTCCTCAGCCCATGATCTGCAAGAAAACCAACTACAAGAGCACTCAAGAACATGGGTTAGTGGGTTAGTGGGTTAGTTTAAGGAGTTAGAATAATATTCACAATTAAACCCACTTAAGCACTACTTAGCCCACTAAGCACTATACTTAACCCACTAAGCACTATTTATTCCATAACTAAAATTTAGTTAGAAAATAAGAAAGTTAAAAACAACATGTGGAAATAATCCACGTAATTCTCGAAATAAATTGCTAATTTTTATTATTTTTTTACAAACAAATTGTGTCTAAACTCTAAATATATTTATCTGAAAATGAAATGAACTGTGCATAAAGTATGAACATAATAATAAAAAGTAAAAACAATCTAAATAGAATTATATCAGCAAATAAATTAAAATTCAAACTAAAAAAAAAATATTAGTTGATTAGCAAAAGGAGACAAAGTAAAAGGTTATCATCTTTTCTTCAGATTCCGTCCCAAATCCTTCTCTCTCTTCTCTCACACACAGACACACTCTGAGTCTGTGTTTTAAAAAATGTTAGAAAGGGAAAAAGGGGCCTGCAGGAAAAAAGGATGAAGAAATAAGATTCTCTGTAAGCCAATGAATTAAACAATTAAAATACTCTTCTTGAATCTTGACCATCGTTTTAATCATTAAATTAATTATATTTTTCAAATAAATAAAAAAAACCGAGAAAAATGATAACACACTCAGTCAGCCTGCTTCTGCCGCCGCCCCTTCCTCAGTTCAGATATTCCGCCGCCGTTGCAGCCACAGCTAACGGTGGCAGTTTTAGCCCTTTTCATTCCCTTTCTCTCTCTTCACAGAGTAAAACAAGTTTCGCCTCTTCTCTTCAGAAAGACAAGGTATTGTTTTTTTCTCTTAGAAGGAATCAGCTTGGCCACTTTTTGTTCAGATTTTTTCCTTTTTTAATATTTAATTTGGATTTTGGGATATGGGTTTATTTTTATTTTGCCATGATTTTGGTGCCTCTGTTTGGATTAGGGATTTGATTTATTCACCGTTACTGCAAGTTCTTGCCATGAAAAAAATCTTGCCTGGGGAAATGCTATTGAACTGTAGATTGTATAATCTTGTGTAAATTTTCTATGGCATAAATTCATTGTTGGATTGCTATTTTATTGAGCTGTATTCAACTAGTTTCGTTTTGTACGGTTTTTAGTGTCGAGTGGGGGTTTATATGTGTCGGTTGGCGCCACTCGAATTATAAATTAAGGTTCTTGATTTAACATAAATGTGGGAATTATAAGATCTTATCTGAAATGAAACCAAACACAATAAATGTAGGAGGACACTTAAACTTGTATGCAATTCATGTTAGTTATAATTCATAAGAAAGTTCGAGAATCTCGTATCATCAATATAGATATAGAGGGTACACATTGGTAATACTAAAGCTTAAAGTCTCGAACGAAACAATGCAGTTTCGTTTCCACGACCCTTCTGTTCTTGCTAAATCAATTAATGTATGTCGTATATTTTTCATGCATCCGTCGGTTTTCTCGCTAATGATTTAGTACCAGGGTTCTCTATTTTTGTATGTGCCGGTATATATAGTGTCGTTGTGGATATAACAAGAACGAGATCGCGAGTAGTTTTGGTTCTGATGAAGATGTCTCGGTCTCGGTTCAAATTCCGACCCAAGCACAATCACTTGTTGAAGGGTCGGGGGCAGTTTTGGTATCCGAGTATAAGCCTGCCACCGACGTGGACTACTTACAGGTTTTTATTTTATTCATTTTATTTTATTTTTATTTTATTTTATTTTTCGTTGTTAAAGTTTGATGATGTGGCTGTTTAGGAGTTATTAGCAATACAACAACAAGGGCCTAGATTGATCGGTTTTTTCGGGACAAGAAATATGGGGTTCATGCACCAAGAACTTATTCAGATTCTCAGCTACGCATAACGGTAATTACGTACTTTCAAGTCTTTATTTTATGTTCGACTTGAATATTATGTGGTGCTCGGGTTTCCATGTTCTTATATATATTCCGTTTGCAGAAAAAACCATATATTTACATCAGGGGCGTCGGGCACTAATGCTTCTGTCATTAGAGGAACACTGCGAGCTCAAAACCCGGAGCTGCTCACTGTAATATTGCCACAGAGTTTGCAAAAGCAATCTCCCGAGAGTCAAGAATTGCTTTCTAAAGTAAGAACATCGTTTCATTATAATAAATACGAACAATTTCTCTATTCATTTAGTTAGCTATAGCCTATAGGCTTGTAATAATAAATTAGTGCATGAATCATAACTTTTTTTTTCTTTTCTTGGCAGGTAAAAAATGTAATCGAAAAGCCTCAAAACGATGATCTTCCATTAATAGAAGCCAGCAGGTATGTTAAATATATGTTTATTGTTCCATATATTGCAGAGCTCACTGTTTAATTTAACCTAGCTGAATTTCTATTTTGTATTAAAAAAAATATATAGATTAAAAAAATAAAATAAAAATGCAGGTTGTGCAATATGGATATAATATCACAAGTGCAGCAAGTGATTTGCTTTGCATTTCATGACAGTAGATTGCTGATGGAAACATGCCAAGAAGCAAAGAATTTGAGAAAGATTGTTACTCTCTTTTACCTCGATTGATATTCATAATATCATCTCTCACTTATTTTGGCCTATGTGTGTAATTTATATAGTTAGAATTTTGTTACCGTAGTTAAAACCTCTATAAATTAATAGAGTCGGGATTGACAAAATTTTATTAAATTTAGTGAAGTATTAAATTATCGAACTAATAATAAAAAATTTAGAAAGTCAGGAAAGTACCATTTACATTAACTGTTTATCGAATGAATTAATTAAGAGTGATAAAAGATAAAATTAAAAATAATACAATAAAAGTGATAAATGATAAAATTGAAAATAATGCAATTAAATAAAATTGGACAATTTTTAGGAAGAAAAAATGGCTATCTAATTGGTTTGGTAGATGTCATGTGACTATGTGAGTCATGTCACATATCACAAGGCACAAATATAATGTTCATGTTTTAAAGGGCAAAATTGTCATTTTTAAGTTTTTGCATTTCATTAATTAGAACAACTATTTTTTGACATTAAAAAAAGCAAAAAGAAAACCATAAACCAATTACCTTTATCTTCTTATATACAGTTACAGTAGTCCTTCATCTCCAAAGTCTGGGAACAAAAATGGCAGCAAATCGAGGGCATGCAGTTATGGTTTCTTTCTTATTTCAAGGGCATATAACCCCTTTCATCCATCTCGCCATAAAACTTGCTTCCAAGGGTTGCACTGTCACCTTCGTCCAAACGGAGTTCCTCCACCACCGCATCTCCACCGCCTCCGCCGCCGGTGATGATGAAGAGCGCGAGATCCCGGAAATCTTCCTGGGAGCACGTGAATCTGGCCTCGACATACGCTACGCCACGATTTCTGACGGCTTCCCACTGGAATTCGACCGGGAAGCCAACTTTGAAGAGTTTTGGGGGTCCATTCTGCGTGATTTTCCGGGCCGTGTGGACGAGTTTCTGGGTCGGATCACGGCGGCGGAAAATTGTGACGGCGGAGTACCGCCCAGTTTCTTGGTTGCTGATACAACATATCTTTGGGGTTCTGAAATCGCGCACAAGTATAACATGTTTTCAGTCTCCTTTTGGACGGAAGCTGCTCTCGCTTTCTCCATTGGTTATCATTTGGACCTCCTCAAACTCAACGCCCATTTCCCACTCGTCAACAACGGTTAGAAATTAAATCTCTATTTCTCTCTCTCTCTCTAGATCTATCTTTCAACTGTTTATTCAAAAGTCAAAACACAAATTAATTTTGAGAAAACCAGTTTATTAATTTTGACTTGACCGGAATGGGATCCTATTTCCGGTCTATTTCATTTATTAATTTAAGTTTTTCGAAGGAACTACTTAACTGAAATGACTAATCTACCCCTATGATTTTGCATGAGAAGATGATGGCGGCGACGGCGTAGTTATAAGTTACGTTCCGGGCATTGAATCCATAAGCACGAGAGACCTTATGTCGTATCTCGAGGGGGACAACGACCCCTTCAACATCCCGACAGTCTTGTACCAAAACATAATCGACGCGTACGAGCAAGTGAAGAAGGCGGATTTCATCCTATGCAACACCGTCCAAGAATTGGAACCCCATACTCTGTCCGCCCTAAATCAGGAGCAGCCAACTTACGCCGTGGGCCCCTCCAATTTCTCCGGCACCCCACCAATAATAACTGTGTCCAATACTACTACTACTAGCCTATGGCCCGAGGTGGACTGCCAAAAATGGCTTGATTCCAAGCCTCATGGTTCAGTTCTTTACATCTCGTTTGGCAGCACAATCGAGACAAACACTCAGCTGATTTACGAGATAGCTCACGGGCTGATGCTGAGTCAGCAACAAGTGAATTTCATATGGATTCTACGGCGTAATCTTGTCAGGATCACGTCCGATGATGATGATGATGATCTCTTGCCACCTGGATTTGAGGATTGTGTGGGTGACCGAGGATTGGTGATTCCTTGGTGCAATCAGAGCCTAGTGCTTTCCGATCCGAGCATTGGTTGCTTTCTGACGCACTGCGGGTGGAACTCTGTATTGGAGAGTATATGGCATGGGGTTCCTATGATTTGTTTTCCTTTGTCCGTTGATCAACCGACCAATAGGAAATTGGTTGTCGATGATTGGAAAATCGGGATTAATCTCTGTGATGGCCAGACAAAACAAATTTCTCGACAACAAGTTGCACAAAAGATCGATCGCTTGATGAGTAGTGGAATGACGAGCTTGAGGCGAGAAATAAAGAAAGTCGAGACGATTTTGCACCGGGCATGGGCTGCAGATGGTTCATCCAATGTGAATCTCGATCGATTTCTACAGGATTTAATGGCTAAAACTAATTCCAAGTCATCTGCAAATTAAATTAATTAATTCATGATACCCATCCCGCCCTTATTGTTTTCATTTTCCGCCCTTATTGTTTTCATTTTCAGTTAAAGTATTTGTTAAGTTGTAGCTCTATTTGTTGGCTTTTCAAACCAACTTGAATCATTGAAGCTGGATTATTATTATTTTTCTTTTAATTTTTTTTTCAAGTTATGATAAAAATGGTAGAATTAATGATGTACTGCGTGTGCTCAGTTTTTCAAAAGTTCATTGTCCTTCCGTAAGATGTTTATTTTGAACTTTACACTGATTGATTTCGAATTTGAACATACGACAAACGTGAAAGTTTACTCACTAAGTACACATACACATGAGTAGTGTGTGTAATTATGTGTAGAATTACATACAGTTCAAATCCACCGAATGTAAATAACGAGGTATACCATCTAATTTGCCAAGAATTCGTGAAGAACCTGTGAAAAAACAGTAGAAAAAGCATCCATTTGAAGCTTTGGCTTGGACAAGCCAATCTCCAAACCACCTTCACAATCTCTGGCTTTGTTAAGAGATATGGAACCATTACCATCTACAAACAGTGCTTCAAATTTTTTAGGGTTTCCCCACCCGTAGTCCACCGCGTAAAAGTCGAATCTTGGCGAACCCGCAACCCCATACTGCCGTTTTCCGATTAACTCGTTGTACTTCTCCGGCCATTTCTCTGCACCGAACAAGATTCCGTTCTCGTTGTACACGTTTTCAACGATGGCGTCACCGATGGCCTTTGCCGCCATCACGAAGCCGTTGGGTCCCTTGGCTTGTCCGTGTTTCAGCTCTGCCCGAACAGGTACGACGCAGTTGCCGAAGTAATTACCAGGCACCGGCGGTTTCAGCCTCCCCCTGCAATCCGCCACGAAGCCAAAGTACTCGGGCTCGTCGTCTGCCACGTCATCACCCGCGGATTTTGCCGAGCAGACCCACACGACGGCGCATGCGGCTGTGAAAGTCGACAGCCTGGGACAATTTGCTGCCACGAGCAAACCCTTGAGCTTTTCGATCTGCTCTTTCTTGAGAACGAACGTTGACCGGAGCTTGTCGATCGGGAATTTCACCGGCGGCGGCTCCACCGAACAAGATAGCTTCAGTATGAGGTCCCAATTCAACGAGTCCAATCCGTTGATGTTCGTCGTATTTTTTCTGTCGAAGGACGGCAAAAAGTTGGATCGTGTCGATAAATCACGCAAATCACTATCATTGGAGTACTTAGTTTTGTTGATGAGAGCCCAGGTTTGGATGAAAGAGACAACCGTGCACGCATCGGCGGCGGCGTGATGAGTTACAAAACCGATGCAGAAGCCATGGCCGGGGAACAGTGTAACTTGGAGAGCTAACACTGGGCAACAAATCGACTTTTCAGAACGGTTCGCCGGTGGAAGATTAGGAACGAAGGCATAAAAATCATCGCAATTCCGGGGATGATTTCCGGCGAGTTCGCTGAAATCAGCCCCGGATTCGCAAACATTAAAAGAAACTGAATCGCCGGATACGTAACGTAGGATTGGTTTATCGCCTCCGGGGGTTAAGGGATGAACGATTTTTCCGGCGAGTGGGAGGAACTCGCCGAGAGTGAGGGATAGCGAGCTTTTCAGATCGGGAACAAGGGTTTCCAGAAAATAGGGTTTCGTCGAACAAGCTGCTGTAAGATCGAAGAAGAGAACACTCTGATTGGCGGGAAAGTCGTACCACACCATATCGAAGAATACAATCGGCAGCACAAACTCCGGCGGCGATGACTCCGCCGGAGGATTGATTTTGCATTCTTCGAGAACGGAGGCGGCCATATTTTTATTGAAATTCGAAATATCAATTTACTTTTTTCATAGAAATCTCAACTTCAATTTAATTCATCACTCTGGATCTCTCCTCGTTTGATGATCCAGGTCATCTTTTCGGTACCCCATTTTAATACACTTTCCACCATGCAGTTATGAGTTATGACCAATGTGCAGAACCCTATTTAATTTAATTCATTGTTTTTTCCTTTTTTTATTGGCAATTTCTCGGTACACCGTCCCCATAAATTGCTCTTACTGGTGGGTAGGGTCTCGTTTGGTTGAGTAGATTAGTCATAATTAACTAAATAATTAAATTTTATTTAATTTAATGTTTGGTATCTTCAATAATATCTGGGGTCTACCCGTAAATATTATATTATCATAGTTTGATACTTTGATAATTTTTCTTCACCCCGTCTCGATATTAATTAAGTTATTAGTTCGATAATTTAATATTTTACTAAAATTAATATAATTTTGTTAATTACTGCTACGCTACTGTATTAATTTATAAATATTTAATTGTATTTATGACACATCACATGCTAACCGCATTAGGATACACATTTAAATACTTGTTATCTAACGCAACACACACACGCGCGCATTATTCATTGATGCAATAATTGATTTCTTAATTTCCTTTGAAGCATTTTGATCAAGAACTTGGAGAGAGAGAGAGAGAGAGAGAATGGTTGAAGCATTAGTGGTTTTGCTATTGAGCTTAGTGTCGGTGTGTTTTATCAGAAAATGGCTAGTGGGCAGCAAAAAACTGCCACCGTCGCCGCGAAAGCTACCGATATGGGGAAACCTTCACCAAATAGGAGATTTGGCCCACCGGTCACTCCAGTCACTGGGCGCCAAACACGGCCCAATAATGCTACTCCACTTTGGCAGCACGCCGGTGATCATCGTCCAATCGGCCGACACGGCGAAAGAGATCCTGAAAACACACGACCTCATGTTCGCCGACAGGGCCCACACGAAAACCACCAAGCGCCTCTGCTACAACCTCAAGGATATGTCGGTGGCCCCTTACGGCGAGTACTGGAGGAATCTTAGGAGCATCACCACCCTGAAGCTCTTGAGCGCCAAGAGGGTTCAGTTCTGTGACGTCATCCGCCAGGAGGAAACGTTGCTTCTGATGAAGAGGATAAAGTCGTCGGGGTCGCGGCCTTTCGATCTTAGCGAATCTTTTATGAAGCTGTCGAACGATGTGATCTGCAGATCGGTGTTCGGGGAGAAGTGCAGTGATGGGGAAGAGGGCAAGAAGTTTCTCAAGGTGCTGAGGAGAGTTCTGGAGCTGTTTGGGTGTATGACTATCGGGGAACATATTCCTTGGCTTTCGTGGGTTAGTTACGTTAACGGTTTCGATCGTATGCTCGAAAAGACTGCCGTCGAGATCGATGGTTTCTTGGATGCTTTCTTGGATGAGCACATGGATAAATATGATCGTGAACAACGTGGTGCTAGTGGTGGCGGTGCTGATGATCGGAGCATGGAGAGTTTTATCGACATTTTGGTTGACATTTACAAGGATAATCAGACTGGTGGCGTCTCCATTGATAGAGATGGTATCAAAGCTCTTGTTCTGGTGCGTGCATGATCTCTCTCTCTCTCTCTCTCTCTCTTCAGATCTCTCTCACTCTCTCTCTCTCTCTCTCTTCAGATCTCTCTCACTCTCCCTCTCTCTCACACACACATTGATTGAGTCATTTGGGAATGCTGATAGGATTGATAAGCTAAGATTGAATGAATATGATGAGGTGGTTAAAGTACTCTTGTCTTATATTATAAAATGAATTTCATGTAGGATTTATTGGACGCGGGATCCGACACAACATCCGCGAATATAGAATGGGCGATGGCCGAACTCTTAAGGCACCCCGAGGTCTTGAAGAGGTTGCAAAACGAAGTGAGAGAAATTGCGACGAGAGAGGACAACATGATCATAACAGAAACCGACTTGAAGAAGATGCATTACTTGAAAGCGGTTGTGAAGGAAACCCTAAGACTCCATCCACCAATAGCGATTGCGGGCCGGTCAGCAAGGGAGGATGTTAAAGTCATGGGGTACGATATTCCACGTGGGACGATGGTCATAACTAATAATTGGGCAATCGGTAGGGATCCCGAGTATTGGGACGAACCGGACGAGTTTAGGCCAGAAAGATTCTTGAATTCTACGGTAGATTATTTTAAGGGAGTGGACTTTAAGTATATTCCGTTTGGGGCTGGGAGAAGGGGATGCCCGGGGATTACGTTTGCAATGGCGGTGGTCGAACTTGTGCTGGCAAATCTTATGCAAAAATTCGAGTGGGAACTTCCCGATGGGGCGAAACCGGAGGATTTGGACATGACGGAACAACCTGGTACCGCCGTTCATAGGAAAAATCCCCTTTTAGTTGTTGCAACTCACTGTTATTTCTAGAAATGGATATTTCATGAATTAATAAAAGTTTATGTATGATTTAATTTGGATGTGTCTATACATCCAACTCTAGTTTCCAGTTTGGGTTGTTATTTAATATATGGTATATGTTCATTTGATTAATTACCATGTCCGTATGTCACGATATAGTCTTCAAGATATTTACAACGAGTATTTCAGTTTCGACAAATTAAGTAGCACAATAATTCTTGAACATGGCGGAAAAGAATACGACGTTTAGGACTCTTATTAGACACGAAAACGAGAAGTAGAAATTGCAGCAATATGCAATGAGGATCAGCTAGAAATGCTTGGGTCGTGAGAAATGAATTTGAATTGAGTTACGAATAATTCAAATGGTGGCTTTTGGGTTTTATCTATCCTACACCCGGTGAAGGTTACACCGGGTGATTTTTTACCGTTGATCTACACACACCAATGTGGGTGTGTGTGTGTTTGTGTGTATATGAATGGTAAAGATCTACCCGGTGTATTTCACCCGGTGTAGGATCTCAAAAGCCGTGGATTTTGGAATCAGTTTATATATTCTCAAAGATTGTAACCAAAAGTCACACCTCTAATAAAAATAATTTCATGAATTGAAAAAGGTATATAACACATTAATTTCTAATTTATTAAACACTTATTCCATTGAATATGTTCTTAAAGACCCTCCCTATTTTTCAATAATGATTTTTCACTTTTTCACACTTAAAAATTTAAAGAAGTCAAAGAACAAGCGGAACCAGAATTATACGGCTGTGGGTTGAAATTTTAGTTGATGTACTAGAAATTTATATAAGCCGTTGAATTAATTATTAAAGGTTATTTACAGAAAATATCATCAAATATTTAAATATTTATTGACTTTAATAAGTAAACTAACACAAATATAGTATATAAAAAAATGATCTTTAAAACTCCATAAAATGAAAGATTAGATATATACGTTGGTGAGTTATGTGAATGCGGATATTGTTAAATTATAATTTTGAATACATTGATAAATTGAGAATGCATCTCACAAAAAAAAAAAAAAAATTGAGAATGAATTATCACTTTTCGGCACTTGCATCTTTCAAAATAATTGGTAGTATTTTGCACCCTCGAACACAATAAGTTATGAATAACTCATCATCGAATGAATTTGTAAAGCTAATGAATGTAATTTAATATTGTTATAAGTATTTCTTAGGATGTCATAAGTCAATCTTTTTTTAATATTCGTTAATTCTTTTAAAACTAAAAAGTGCAAAAATAAAAATACGTCTCATCAACAAATTAAAAAAAATTGATAAAAAAATATTTTACGAAATATGTAAAGAACAAAAGAAACCCATCAACTATTTATGCTATCAAGTTAATTGAAAATTATATTTTCTTCCAAAGATTTCTATCAAATATATTTTAACAATTATAATAAAAGACCTATCAACAGAATAATTTAGTGAGAAAAAAATATTTATTAGTAACTATGATTGTGTAATAATTTTTTTAAAAAAGAAAAAGAAAATGTGTCTAGCCTTGCAATTCATGTTCGCAATAAATTCAGTCGCGCACGTTTACACTTCAGCGCTCACGTTAGATATATGTGTAGGGATAATTACAGTTTTGGTCCCCCAAGTTTGCACGTTTTTCACTTTTGGTCCCTCATTTAACGCCGTCAACAAAATACACACTAATGTTGTCACATTTTATCACATTTAGTCCCTCCGTTTGTTTGACCGTTAAGTAGTAACGGTCAACCGTTGAATTTGGAGTTTTTCTTTGAGAAAATTGCAATAAGACCCCAGCATTCTTTCCAAATATTTAAAAAACCTCTAAAATTTTATCCAACCATAATTTAATCCCTATTTCATCAATTAACCTATTTTAACCAATGACCCCGATTTTTCAAAATTGGGTAATCCGACGTTGAATTTCTTTTTAACTCGGTTGACACTTTTGTCGATTGATTTTTTTTTTTATCGTTGTTGACCGATGTTTACCGGCTTATCAGCGTTGACATTTTTTTTTCTTGATTTTTATTTAAATTTTTCAGTAATGAAAAAATATAATTAAAAAAATCAAAGTTGATAATCGGCGAGAAAATAATATCATAAAAAAGTCAAAATATAGAAAAAAATAAAAAGTCAACGCATCTCTATGACGGAAAAAATTTAAGTAAAAAAAAAGATAAAAATTAACGGCCGGTGTTAGCCCCAAAAACCGTTGTAAGAGAGTGGTTTTATCATTTTAAATTACTCCGGACATGCCTAATTCATCTTCTTCATATTTTTTTGGGAAGAAATTTGAGATGCATTGGCGGTTCCATGAAGAAAAAATTGAGGGGAAGAAATTATGGATTTTAGAATTTTTTTAAATTGCATTTAGGCCCTAAAATTTTTAGATAAAAACTTTCTTAGAAGTTTGTAATTTTAATATTACGATACTAGATATTCATATAGTATTATTATTGTGTTATTAAGTAATTGTGTTGATCGGAAAAAAAAAAGTCAAAGGAAAAAGTTCGTAAAAAATCAAGAAAAAAAAGTCAGCATTGTTAACCGAGAATACAATGTCGGTGAACGGCATCAACATCAAGATTAAATAAAAAACTCATTGCCGAAAAAAAGTACAAATTAAAAAGAAAAAAATCAACGTCGGTCAAGGGTCAGCGGTAATGATTGTAAAAATCGGGGTCGGTTGTCAAAATTGATTAAATGACGAAATTGGGGTTAAATTAGGGTTGTGTAAAATTTTAGGGGGTTTTAGAATATTTTAAAAGAATGCAGGGGTCTGAGTGCAATTTTTATCTATGAAAAATCCCAAATTCAGTCATAATTCAATAGTTGACCGTTACTACTTAACAGTCAAACAGACGGAGGGACTAAATGTGTTAAAATTTGACAACATTAGTGTGTATTTTGTTGACGACGGTAAATGGGGGACCAAAAGTAAAAAACGTGCAAACTTGGGGGACGAAAAATGTAATTATCCCTATATGTGTACCTAAAATAATGTTAGCTTTAATGTGTTACACCAACCATAACAGAAGTTATTTAATGGGGGTAGATAGGATCGGATCGCAATAAATAGCATAAAATTAATCATCAGATTTATAACTTACGTGCTAGAAAATTGCTACTTGGTCCCGACACCAACAATTAATTGATCTCTGATAATTAATTTTGCCTGAAAAAACCCATACATCTTTACTGCACTGCACTAGATATTAATATAAGACAACTGAAAGTTGGTCACAATAATAAATTCAGTAGGTTTTCCGCATCCCACTTGAAAGCTGTCGAGATCGCGGCCAACCTACTACACGATAATGCATTAAGTGACTCGCCGGCCGGTTGCTCCGATGCTTACACTTTAGCGCCGGCCGGTTGTCACTATTATAATTATTTACCTTCAATGATGGAATTGAAGAACATGCATGTATCATTGTATTATGTATATATACTTTGAGTTTAGTGGAGAATTATTTAGCCTTAGAAATATACATTATTTTCATATTTTAATTATCTCTACTAAATTATAATAATTTAATGGGTAAATTAAGAAAATCCCTGAATTTAGACTAAATTACAAAAAATACCGCATCTATTCTTAATTACCAAAAAAACCCAACGTTTGTTTCCATCTTACACCGACCCTCTTCTAATGTGATTTTTCACGGATATTTCCCAGAAAATAGTGATTATACCCCTACAGACGTGACATTTACTTATGTTATTTCTTACAGACAAAAAATACTCTTAAGGGGCCCTCTACACATAATTTTTATTTTTCTTAAATAACATTTTCACAACTCTTTAGTACGTATTACAGTACAATCACCCCCTATGAGACTATTTTTTGTCTTTAAAAAGTAGCATAACAAAATGTCATGTCTGCATGGGTAGAACTGGTATTTTTCGGGAAAATATTGCTTGAAATAAACAAGATTCCTTGAAAAATCACAACGTAAGAGTGTCGGTGCGAAAGTAGCAGGGAGGGAGTTTTAGAAATTGGGAATTAGGGTTTTAATGTTGAAAGTGGGCGCCAAAAGTAATTTGGGCACTCTTTTATCTTTTACCACTCATTTAATGAAAAATGTGCGATAATTATTTGTTATTAATAGTTACAGTAAATGTTACCAATATTCATAATTTGCCATTTTAAAAATACAAAATTGTGTTGAGATGATATTCATATTATTTTTGCCTTGTTCTATGGATAAAAATTAATTTAATTTATTTCCCAAAGCACCCCTCAAAGCATTGATGAATTTTACGTATATTCTTAAATGACTAGATTAAATGATACCTAATAATGTAGCATATTCAACAATCCCTATTATCCTTTTTGGGAAATATTAAGCAAATTATTGTTTGTATCGACACCCAACCTAAAAGACTTTCGTAATTTACCCTAATTAATTTAATTTAATAATAAGGATAAGATAATATAGAATAGAACCGGTCCTAATCAGTGGACAGTTGAGAAATTATTAAGACAAGTGACAGCTAATCAATTCGCAATAAATTCAGCAGATTTAATTACTGCCTACCCACCTCCGCATAATGTTTATCAATTTTTTATTTTAATTGGTCCATATTAGGGGTGGGCATTCGGGTCGGGTCGGGTTATTCGGGTTATTCGGGTCGGGTTATTCGGGTTTTTTGCAAAAAAAACATTACCCGAACCCGACCCGAGATAACCGGGTACCCGGCAACCGGGTACCCGGTTATTTCGGGTCGGGTTCGGGTTTTGCTATTTTCCTCTTTTTTTTTTTTTTTTTTTTTTTTTTTTTTTTTTTTTCTATTATTAATTTTTTTTCCTAATAATTATTTATTACTTCCAATTCGAAATGTGACATCAAACTTCATAAAATATCAAAAATATATTAGATGTTTCTTTACTTGGATTACAAATACGGGAAGTAAAACATATTGTTATATACACAGATTCATAAAAACAAAAGAATTACTAAATTTATTACACAAAAACAACTAATCACAAAAAAAATAAAAATAATATCAAACAAACAGTAACTAAATTTACATAAAATATACATATATAATCAGACATATATATATATATATA